CAAGTCTCTCTCCAATACATTTGATTGAATCTCACACGGATTTTTTAATTTTTTTTGGAAGAATTTTTTTCTTATAAATAGGTAGAGACTTTCACAATAATTTCAAACTCTTAATGGCATTTCTCACAAGAAGAGACACTTAAAAGAGAGTTTCTAATTAAAATTTTCTTATATTCTTATGTATAATAAGAAAGAAAGAGAAAAGAAAGAAAGAATAAAAAATTTCGAAGAAATAAAAAAAAATCAAAATTTTCAATTCAACGACCTGGCAAACCGAAGACGGTTCGCCAGTTCAACTGTCGGTTTTTTCGATTATCTCTAAATATGCCAATTTTTAGCTTCGAACGATTTAGAGGGTTATCTAAATCGGAACCCCAACCAGTCGACAGTTTAACCGGCTGATCCGATCTAGTGTTCAAAACCATGCTTGCACTACATAAAAATATGCTTTTGGTGATTAAAAAATTAGTCGCAAAAGTCTCGTTTTTAGTCGCTGATTATCAATGGTGGCTAAAATTTTTAGTCGCCCTAGATAGTCACCAAAGGCTTGTCGGCAAAAGTATTGGTGATTGAATTTATGTTGGTAGCTAATACTATTCTCTTTGGTTACTAAAACGAATTTAGTAGTTAATTGACACCTTTTGGCGACGAAAGGGGCAGTCGTCGAAAATTCTCAAACAAAAATAAAGGTCTCTTTCAGCGGCAAAATATTTAATCACTAATACGTTTTAGTTGCTAATACGTACCACATTTACCAACTATTTTATTTGTCAATTTTTGTTACATTTAGGTCTTGTTTGGCAATATTACTTTTTCACTTAAAAGTCATTAAAAAAATCAAAAAATCAAGCTATATCAAAAAGTAAAAAATTCTGTTTTCTTTCTATTTTTTGCACATTTTTTGTAAAAAATCAAAAAGTCATTTCAAACATACTAGTTTTTTTATATATATTATATTTTAACCAAAAAATAAAAAAATTACTAAAAAAATCTATTCCCAAACAAGGTCTCACAGCCACCAAATTTTTAGTTGCCATTGTTTTTCAAGGTTAAATATTTTAGTCACGTCCTATTACATTTTCTGACTAACTATTTTAATCAAAGTTGTCATATTTTTTCACGACTAACATATTTAATCGGCAAAACACTATAACTATTTGATCACAAATTATACTTGTCCCAAGAAGTTACCTCAAAAAGTTATCCCAAAAACTATTCTGTGAAATCTACAACATAAATTTGAATTTCTTGTGGGGTCACAAACTACCCTTGCTGTCCATTTGGAAACTTAAGGGTCTTTTGGAAAGAAAATAAAAAGTTAGCTTTTAACTTTTTATCTATTTTGAATTACATCACCTTTCACATTTTTTACTTATAAAAAGATAAAATAAACTAAAAAAATTAAAAAATCAATTTTTTACTAACTTCCTAAAACACTCCCGAATATATATTACTAAAACTCTTATTGATCCCTCCCTCCCAACATTACCCAATCAATAAAGTGGCTATAACAGTATTAATTTTAAGAATAATGTGTAAAAAGTAATACCATTTATATAACATGGAAAAATGCTGGCCAAAAAAAAAAAGAAAGTAAAACAAACCAAAAAAAAAAGAGTGATTAGTGATTACACACACAAAGTTCATTTTCACCTCCATAAGATCGCCACGAGGGGCAGGCAACAGAAAAAAGATCAAGCACACACATCCAGGTATTAATCTAGGTGGCAGCAAATTATCATTATAAGAATAACATTCCATTTTTAACAGAAATATATGACATAAGAGTATAAGACCCGAAAGACTTCCTTACAATGACAAATAGACATCCATGTTGGCATTTCATAAATCCCCTTCAGAAGACCCAAAAGACATCAACAAATATCCATGTTGGCATTTCATAAATCCCCTTCAGAATGTATAAGCTGAAGAAAATAATAGTGATGCCCCCTTAACATACTTTGCCTTCGTTTAGAATATGGATTGACTTTTTGATTTTTTAGTTATTTTAGTTTGGAATTAAAAAGTCTTGTTTGGGATGAGTTTTTTTAGCTTTTTGACTTCTGTAAAAAAAAAATGAAATAATTATGATTTGAATATAACATTTTGATTTATTAATTTTTTAGTTTATTTTATCTTTTTGCGACTATTTTAGCCTAAAAAGTTTATTCCAAACATAGCCACTGTGACCTATAAAACAAGAAAAACATTCTTTGTAAATCCTTTTTCCCCAAAAAGCAAAAAAACAAAAGAGCACATGTCTCATCCAGAACCATTCACCACTACTAAACAGGACGTCCAGGGAGGTTTACACCATCTCAACATTACTTCCCCAGCTATCTTTAATGCTGCAGGTAATTAACCACCGTAATAGGTACTTTTCAGTCTATCTATTTGTCTGTCTATCTATATATACTTTGATCTATTTAGTTTCTATCATTTTCTAGAGTTCAAATTGGATCCCAACCTCCTAGAATAAGATTAATCCTAGGCTCCGCAACCCAGACTTGCCTCCTCTTACTGCTAAAATGTTGATTATTTCTGTTCTGTTTCGATTTTCAGATGTATGCCACAACTGTCTGGTGAAATAATATGACTAAATACATCTTCTTAAAATGCATGCACCAAAAACTATTGTTTTACAATGTAAATTATTTTACATCAATTGAAACAGAGTGTAAATGTATAAAAATTCCCTCTTTGAGCAAAAAGCTTCTACGAGGGAAAACCAAGTTAACCTAGAATTCTGCAGTAGATAATTCTCTTGATTCACAGGTGACCAACATCCTCATAGATGGAGTATGGAAAAGAAGCTTGGGGCTGGGTGTGAAGGTGTGACGCCCCAAAAATTTATTATATGGTTGACGTCTAAAAAAGGTCACTAATGGGTCTTTCAATCAAGAACTAAGTAAGATCCCAAAAAAGATCGGAGGACTTAATATAATCTCCCTTCAAAGTCCAATTTCCTTAGATAGCAAAACTACCTTTTTCACAGATCTTAACAAAGTATTAATACAAGGTCTGCATAAGTTAACGGAAAAAATAAAGATAAGTTTACACGAAGGATATATAGGTGTGTGTATATATATATATATAAGTAAAACAATCATTACAAAATCATGTTTTAAATACAAGAAGAGGTTTAACATTTACAAACCCAAAGGGACTTAACAAAATTAGTTTCTAATTTTTTTAGAATAGTCATACGTCTTCAATTGCTTCAGCTTCGTCTTCGATTGGCTAATAGTTTTCAGTACCTGATATGAAATGCTATGAGCTTGGAATGCCCAATAAACGCACACACACCCTGTTCCTTTTTCCCAATCTAATACACAATCACAATTATAGCAAACAAGTAATGCAATATGATATTCAAGTCAATAAAAAAGGATTAAAAGGTCAGAGGTTAGTAATGGCCTTTATGCTAATCCAGATTATTAATATTATATAATTTATATCTTGTATAAATGAACACATAGAATTTAGGAGAAATTTTAAAAAAAAAAAAAAAATCAGAATTTGACCATTGTAACAAAATAAAAGTTTTTAGTTTTGTCAATTTAAACCTTAATATTTTGATTTATTTTCAATTTAAGTCATTTGACTATTTCCATTAGGTAAAACAAAAGGGAAAATAATATTTTTGTCATTAAACTCAATGTGAAATGCCTACAATACCCTTTTTTGCTTAGGTGGCTAAGAACACCTTAAACAAGTTTTTTGATGAAGACACCAAATGTTTCACAACTGATAGCTCACTCTTTGCTAGCCTGCAAATTAGACTCAAAATTGAATTGATGGATTCAAGGAACAAACTCACAAGCTCAGCTAATTTCAGAGCTCTGTGAACTCCTAAAAATATATGGGTAATTACTGAGGCATCAAAATTTAACATACTCACATCCATATGATGGCAAAATATTCATATTGAGAGTCAAAGTACTAAAAAGTCTTTCATCAATATATCTCCAAAAAGGATGGGGGCGGTATGGTTTGCCCATGTCCTCTAAACAAGATTGAAACCTCATGGTCCCAAATGAAGTTCCATTTCAATGATGCTATTACCGATAGGGAGCTTAGTTCAAAGTAATCAAATTTGATCGACACCTCATTGAATATGTGGAATTAGCAAAGAAGCATGAATGATTTCCATGTTTTGAGAAAACAATATCGGTAACACACTGAAAACATTCGCGTCTTCCACTCAGACAACAACCAAAGTCCATTTAGGTTGATTTTAATGACACAAGACTGTAGAAGGTATATCCTCCATTTTGTTAACTAGAAGGCAACAAAACTTGAAACACTGAGATCCACAGGATGGGAAAATATTCGGATTGAGAGTCAAATACTAAAAAGTATTCCATCAATATATCTACAAATTCCTCTAAACAAGATCGAAAACTCATGGTCCCAAATGAATCTACAAGTAAACATTTATGAAAAAAAATGCGATCAACAAAACATATATGCAAAGTCCCATTTTGAATGATGCTACAAATTCTAAAACGATGCCATTACCAACAGGAAGCCTAGTTCAAAATAATCAAATTTGATTGGCTAATCATATTGTTTATGCGCGACTCGCACTAAATCATGAACAATTTTTATGTTCCTTATGTTTTAAGTAAACAATATAAAAAAAGCTTACTCAAAACAAAGATACAAAACCCAAACAGGAATTTCATCAAACAAGTGGAGACCAATGTTTGTTAGGCTTAGTACAAACAGACAAACCACGTACAAATCTACAATCACACAAATATTCGACCACTCCTCCTAAAATCAATTATATCAGTACACTTTTTTTTCAATAACAAAATTATGATGTCCTTGCAATTAAATTCAAGGGAAATTTGAATTAACAAAAAATAATGAAAGAAAATATAGCATTCCTTTACAACAATTTTCCAAGATCTATATATGATAGAAAATAATTGCCCATTCTTTTATACATAAAGATTAAAATAAGTGATTAATAAAAAACTGTTGAAACAGAGTCAAACAGGAGAGTCGACTAGGAGAGAAGAGCGGCAGAGAGGGCAACTGGAGCGAGAAGCGAGCCACTTGTCGACACACTCGGAGTGATAGCAATGGCGGCACATTGGCAGCACTCTGACTTTGTCACCATCTTCGAATACTCCGAGGCATATACAGCACTCGGACTCGCCGACATTTGTTGTGGTTGAATCGTGCAATATGATTGGGAAGCTGTTAATTGTGGATGTGTCGAGTCCTTGAGGCGGAGGAGGAGGAGGAGACGGCGGCGGCGCTTGAGCATCTGCGGCGGCGGAGCGGCGGACCCAGCGGGTGTAGAGGATGAGGAGGGTGATGAGGAGGAGGAGCATAGAGAAAAGTACGACGGCGTAGAAGAAGGTGCGGCCGCGGATTTGGAAGTTGCTGTCGTCGAATTCGGAGTAGTGCCAGTGGAATGGTGGGGTGTCTTGAGAGGCCATTTTACTTTCAATTCGTTGATGATTAGGCGGCGACGGTAGTGGAGGTGTGAGAAGATTGCGGCGGCGACATGGTGGTGATGCGGTGGTGCATCGGACGAAGAAGGTGTTAAAAGATTTTTTGAACAAAGGGACAAAGATATAAAAACACAAAGACAAAAAGGGTTTTTGGACAACTAGTTAAGGCTGACAAACATGTATGAGAATTATTTGTTTCCGATGTGATGCAGTAGATTAATGAAACGAAAATTAAGTGCAAATCTTAATCAGAGATAGTATTCTCTTTTGATATATTTGAAAAATAATTTGATTTGTTCTAAGGCTTAGGGTTCCTATTTATAGTCACACGAGAGGCCTAATTATAATAGGAAATAAATTGAAAAGGTAATGTTTACTAATTAAGCCTAAATCAAAGAGAATCTAAAATTTACCAAAAAATAAGAAAGTTCAAGTTATGCTCAAATCTTGAAAATAATAAAAATAAAATATACTGGAAAAAAAAAACTAAATTCAAACAAATTTGTTTAAATCAAGTAATTAAAAAATAAATATTTTTAAAAATATTTAAATCACATAATTGAAAGCTTAAACAATGAAATTTGATCGAAATCTATTATATACTATGGCAAAAGTAATGGGTATTGAGTGTGACGTTAATTTTTATGTCTCGACCGAATCTCAAATTATTCCAAGCATGTGTCATTTGGCATCGGCTAGTAATTTTGCCCCTTTTTGCCTTTGTTTGCCCACAAGTTTCGGGAACATTATGGCCAAAACTCTATACACAATGTAATAAATAAATAAATAAGGGAGAAAAATTATCTGGTGATTTCGGGCATGTTTAGGTGGTGTATGAGTAGTGTTATGATTGATAGAGGGAATGAGATTCATGATTTAGTATTGGATGATCAAAGAACATCAAGAGGACATAATATTTAAGAAAAATGTTAAAGATTTCAAAATTTCTACCATATGTTTTATTAAATGTCTCATATGAATGTGGAGCCCACTAATGTGAGATCTACCCCACATAAGACATTTATGTTGTGTTTGGTTGGAGGATTTGAGGAGGGATTTGGAAAGGAAAATGAAAAAAGTAGATGAAATGTGAATAAATCATGCCTATATTTCACATAGTTTCACACACATTTTCTTTTTTTCTTTCCAAATCCCTTCTAAATTTTCCCAACCAAACACAGCATTAGTAAAACATTTATTAGAAATTTTAGTGTTCTTACCATTACTCGATATTTAATAATTGATGAGAGTATTTCTACGTGACACTCCAAGATCACTTAGGCCTCGTTTGGGAACAGGCTAATATAGTAACTTTTTGGCTATTTGGCTAAAAAGGTAGGTAAAAAAAATTTGTATGTTTGGGAGGACTTTTTGGCTAATTACGAAAAGATGTGCAAAAAGTAGAGAGAAAAGAGAATCTTTGACTTTTTAGTATGGGTTATTGACTTTTTGGCTAATTTAGTAACTTTTTGACTAATTGGCTAAAATAGCCTCTTGCCAAACGAGGCCTTAATTATTTTTCTATATTTATGGGCGAAGCCTTTATAGTGGTGAGTATTTGCACTCTTGTTGAGGGGAAAGCCTTCAGAGCGGACAGCGGTGAGCACTGGCACTCTTCTTGTGTATATTTTGTAATTGTCTTTTTTACTATAATTATCTGTAATTCAAAAATAAAAATTACACATTTGTGATAATATATGTGATGCATTTTTGTGATAATGTTGCACTTTTTTTATTCAAATGTTTTTTAACTATAAAATATATAATATTATTAAAAAAATGCATAATTTCAAAAATTATCATAAACTTAGAAAAAAAAATACATAACTATTGTTTATTTATTTATTTTTATGTGTATTTGTAATGATCCCACCATGTGATAATACGATTAATATTGCTGTGTGTATGGATGTGGCTGTGGTTGTGGTTGTGGTTGTGTTGTCTGCTACCTTCTGCATTTAATTTTAGACACTGTCCCCCCGTGCTTGAACTGTATTGAGTTTATTTCCTTTTTAAACCCTACCATCTCTCATACCTCATTGCAAAAAATGACATCTGTGGGTTTGTTTGGGAAGTGTCTTTTTTTTTTTTTTTTTTTTTTTAAAAAAAATATAAAAAGAAAAAATTGTTAAAAAAAAAAAAAAAAAAAAAAAATAAAAAAAAAAAAAAAATCACGCAAAATGTCACATTAAACTCATAATCATTTCATTATTTTTTTCACAAATATCACATCAAACTATAAAAAAAAACTCAACTACCTTTCCAAACATAAAAATTTTAACCTCCTAAAATAATCCAAAACTAAAAAAACCTACTAAAATAACAACTTCCCAAACACCACAGAATAATCCATGTCATGCCCGTGACAATTTAGCATACAATTTCACAGAGAAAGAAAAGAGAAATTGAGAATCTTATTATCACAAATTTATAACTAGGGTAAATTATGAATAGGTGATAATAGTTAGATTCAATTCTCATCAAGTTGTATTGATAATAAGTCTTGATAAAATTATCGCTAAAAATATTTTTTTTGTGACAACTTTTTATATATGTCGCTAAAAATTGACAATTAGTGACTTTTTTGTCATAATTTTTATAAATTGTCGCTAAAACTTATAATTAGTGACTTTTTTTATGACAAATTTTTCTCATACGACCTATTAGACAATAAGTTTAATTATTAGGACCTACACTATCCCATTTAATCAATACTCCAATATTTTTTTGTTAATATAATTTATCTCTGTAAGAATATAATATCATTTTAAATATTGTAAGAATATTTACTTGTATCATTCTTAAACACAACATTCAGGGAATGTAAGAGTTTGATTCCTATCAAACTTTTAAATAATAGTATCAAAATATGTGTTAGTATCAACAATATATATTGCACACTATCAACCAATGTATTGATGAAAAATAATTTTCCATGTTTAAAATCCCAATGCAAGATGGGTGATACGATACATAATAAACGATATTTAAAATGCTATTAATTTCTACTTACTTGTTGATCTCATTTTTTTTCCTTCTTGGAAACCAAATTAGGAATCTCATTAAAAGAAAATTTAAATAAGATTTTCATTCTGCCTTTCTATTATGATATTTAAAAAAAAATGAACAAAAAATAAAAGATAAGCTCCTACGTTTAATGAGCCAACGTTTTATTTCTTACTTCAAATCCAACTACTTAACCAAGAAGTAGATAGTAATGAAACTAGGCCCTTTTTCACGGCAAAAATATTAAGGTTAGACTTGTCTCAAATTCATATTAAGGTTGAATTTATGGCTATATTTATCTAGAAAGAAACTGGTGATAGAAAATAAAAATAGTAGAAAGTGAAGTGAAAGAAAGAAAAAATTATTTTCTTACATGCATTTGAATAGGTGAGAATTTTTGTAAGGAAATGATGGGAAAAAAAAATATAATCATTGCATAATAGGAAGTTGTAGAAAGAAACATGGGCCAAAAAAATAAATAAATAAATAAACCCTGTCAAGATTTTTGAAAAAAAATAAAATTTTCTGTATATTTTGCAAGAAATTGTTAGCCTAATTAACAAGTTAATTTGAGTTGTACAAAAAACTTTAGGGGTTGTTTGGGATGACCTAAATAAGTGTACTTTTTATCTTTTTACGAAAAGATGTGCAGAAAAGTAGAGAGGTGATGTGATGGAAAAAAGATAAAAAGATAGATTATTTTTAGGTTGCCAAACTTAGCCTTAGTTTCTATTACTTTCTAAGATTCTCAATCTAAACAAACAAATAAAAACTTATTTATTTTCTTTCCTATATTATCTATCTAACCATACTCCAAGAGAACTTGATCAAACACACCTTAATGAATTGGCATTAACCTTATAAATTAACTCGTGTTTTACATTTGGCCATCACAAATTGGGTATTTAGTGGGAGTGTTCTCTATCCCAAGCTCCGAGTCCTTTCTAAAAAAAAGAGAGCTCATGGCCCGGCCCAAAATGTTGATAAGTTGACTAACAAACACCATTCTGGCCCAATTTCACTAAGAAGTTGGACTTTATTACACTCAACTTTACTTCTCATTCTTTTTTGGCGAACCGAGTGAAAAGTTACATTAGGAAGATAGAGTACTCCAACGATTCACCTATTATTTCATCAAATTTAATTTTGATAAAAAAAATATTCTTTTTATTATTTCAATTATTTTATCAAATGATTATCAAATTGAGGATGGCTGGAACCTTTTATCAATTTACTATTCATAGAAATTAGAGTTACAGGTCATTTTCACCATCGGACGATCGGCCGGATGACCACCTCCTTGCAAAAATTTGTTTAAAAATTACATTGACTAGTCGACTGGTTGGCTGTCCACCCGATCGATTGTGTTTTGATGAAAGTTCAAAATCCTCCGTTGAAGCGTGTGATATTAAATGGAGTTTTTACTAGTAAAAAAAATACAACGTTGAAGATGTTCTAATACGTTTTTTTTTTGACTTTTTAGTGCATTAAAAAGTTTTGTTCACTTTTAATTGTTACTAGAAAATCTTATTTTTCATTTTTTTAGCGGCATTGTTATAAAAAAGTGTCAATAATTGTTAACTGTAAAATCTTATTTTTCATTTTTTTAGCGGTATTATTATCAAAAAAATGTCACTAATTATTAACAATTAAAAGTGAACAAAAGATTTATTAAATTTTTTGATCCATACAAGTACTTATGATACTTTGACTAATTATCCCTCGTATAGGACATTTGACTAATTACCTCTTTTTAAAAAAAAATTAAAAAAAAAAATTAAGCTACAGCCAATGGTGCGGTAAAAAAGCAGAGATTGGCTTTATTATTATTATTATTATTATTACTTTTCTGATTTTTAGTGGTTTTCTTTTTTGAATTTTAAAAAAACTCTACTTTTAAAGGGGTGTTTGTTTAATGGAATTAAGATATAGGATTGGACTTGATGTCCAATAGATATCGTTTGGTTAGAAAGTGAAAG